GGGGGTTGAAGTCCACCCATCTTCCAGTTCATTAGCATGTGAACTGAGGAATTCTGGGGGGTTGAAGTCCACCCGAGTTTGAGTTCATTAGGATGCTGGCTGGGGAATTCTGGGAATTGAAGTCCGAGCATCTTAAACTTCCCACGCTTGAAAAAGACTGTGCTACACAGATATAGAAAATTTTTTGATTCGGCCCTTAGAACCAAAGGAAAAAAAAAAATATTGGCTTCAACCAGGAGAAAGGCACTCTGCACATGCTCCCAGCATCCCTGCCCTTCCTTCCCAGGGTGGATCGTTCAAAAGCACCCATTGGATGGTTCGGCCTCGTCTTTGCCAGCCCCTTCGAAGCAAGGTTGGGGGGGTCAGTGCCAGCCAGAAAGTCTCCCCCCTCCAGAGCACCAGACTGGAGAAATCCTCCTTTGCTGGAGAAAAGCCCCCCCCCCCGATTCCTCTGAGGTGCCCTCCTTTGGCCCACAAAGTACACCATGAGGACTAGGAACTTAACCTTCCTTGCTTAAGACTGCTGCCAACGGGAGAGGGGGGGGCTAATTGGCTTCTGCAGCCTTTCCAGAGTGAAGGTTGCTTGCTGGAGGGATGAGACCAGGCGGGGGGGGGAGAAATTAACCCCCCCCATCCCCATCCATTCTCCCCATCTTCTTAGCTCTTCTGCTCATCCTCAACTGACTCTCCAGACGACGAAGCTGGTTGGTTGGGTCGCCATAGCAACCCTGCCACCAGCACCTGCCTCCTTCTGCCTGGTGGGTGAGGAAGACAAGCATCTCCCGGCAGGCGGGCATGGGGGGTGTGTGGATACACCAGCCTTCTCTGACTCCCCCCCCCCCACTTCCAAGGCTCAGCTCTTCCAATGCCTCCACTCAGGGCGCTGTGGCCTGGAGGCGGCATCCTGCATGACGTGGGAACAAGCTGGCAGAAACCGGGATCCGAGGGGTGGGTGGCTTATGCAGACTGAGTTTAGGCTCCGGGGTCGTTCTGTACATCCAGAAATGGGTCAGCAGAGTAACCAGGTTAGGAATGCAGCCGGCATGCAGGCACACAAGGGGAATCGGTTCCCACCCACCCATATCCTGTGGTTCTGAACTTGTCATTGATTTGTTTCTTTGCATGGCCAGTCCTCGGCTTAACGACCACACCGGAGCCCCAAATTTCCGTTGCTTGGCTAGTCGAAAGAAAATAAAAAACAGGGGCGACATGATAGCAGCATTCCAGTATTCGAGGGTCTGCCACAAAGAAGAGGGGGTCGCGTTATTCTCCAACGCACCAGAGGGAAGGACGAGAAACAACGGATGGAAACTCGTCAAGGAGAGAAGCAGCCTGGAATTAAGGAGAAGCTTCCTAACAGCGAGGACAATTAACCAGTGGAACAGCTTGCCACCAGAAATTGTGGGTGTTCTTATCACTGAAGGTTTTTAAGAAGAGGCTGGACAGTCACTTGTCTGAAATGGTATAGGGTATCCTGCTTGAGCAGGCGGGTGGACTAGAAGACCTCTAAGGTCCCTTCCCGCTGTATTCTGATTGATTGGAGGGTTCAAAGCCAGTCCAGCCTGCTCAGCCCCGTCCAGCAGGCAGGCAGATTTTCCCTCTTGTGAAACTTTTAACAACTCCTGTTGTTGCAAAGGAGGGAGAACTTTACGGCTTCGGCTGTCGGCGGGATGGCTTTATATGGCCTTCTCCCTGCCCGTCTCACCCGCCTTTCCAAACCCTCCTAATATTAAGCAGCGGCTGGTTTGGGAGAAGCCGCCTCGGGCCCTAGAGTAAGACAGGAGAAAAGGGGAGGGGGGGGTTCCTTTGTCTCCCATCTGGAAAAGATTAGGAGAGGCCCTGTCCGCCTGCCAGGTTCAAGTCAGCAGAGTGGAGAGCCGAACGCCCGACAAGTTTTCCCGCCCCCCACCTCCTTCCCTCCAGCTCAGGTTTCGGCCGGTCGCCCCAGCTCAACCTCGGCTGGTGCCAGTTGGGACCCACCAGTCAGGCTGGGTGGAGCAGGCAAAATCCCGGGAAGAGATTCCTTGCTGCACCCCTGCCTGAGTTACTGGTCCGACTTTGGGGGGGGGTCTTCTTCTCTTGGCCTTGGCTGGAAAGGAAGGAGGAGAGATGAAAGAGAAGAGCAGAGGAGGAGGAGGAGGAGGAGGAGGAGGAAAAGCAGAATAACTGAATACAGAGTCGGAAGGGACCTCGGAGGTCTTCTAGTCCAACCCCCTGCTCAAGCATACCTAGATCATTTCAGACAAACGGCTGTCCAATCTCTTCTTAAAAAACCTCCCAAGGACGGAGTACCCGTCATTTCTGGAGGCGAGTTGTTCCACTGATCAATTGCTCTTAACTGGTTAATTGGAAGGAGGAGGAGGGAGGATAAGACCACCCACCCAAGCCCACCCTTAAAATAAACGCAGCAGAACTGCAAAGACTGCTTACAAGGGAAGGGGCAGGGGGAAGAGGCCTCCCAGCCAGTCCCCCCCCCCACAACTGGGAAGGAAGGGAGGGGACGTGCCCCACGTTCCTGGGGAAAAAACATTTGGAGAGCCTGCCTGGCTGCCTTTCCTGGCGCTGGGGCAAACATCTGCTTCTCATAAGGGCCTCTGTGCCGGCCAGGCTGTTGGAGCTGGAAGCAAAGGGAGCCTGGATGGGATGGGGGGGGAGGGGCTGCGGGGGGGGGGAGAGAGAGATGGACCCCAGATAGCCGGATGGAAAGTGCAGCTGAGCCCCTGAGCAGCTCAGGGGGAAAGGATGTTTGTGCCATGATGCACAACTGGGAGCTGAGCGATGGGACAATTATGGCAGCGGGGGGCAGGGGAGAATAACAACAGGAGACCCCCAAAAATTGGGGGTGGTTTTCTTCCTTTCCAGCTCACCCTGCCAAGGTCAGGGGGGTGCAGGTGGTCCTTGACTTAGTTCACTTAGTGGCCGTTCGAACTTACAGCGGCACTCCCCCCCCCAAAAAAGGGGGATTTATGAGCACTTTTCACACTCACAACCGTTGCGGCATCCCCAAAAGTCCCGTGATCAAAATTCAGGC